TTTACTGTAGTTTTCTGTAGTTTTATTGTTTTACTGTAGTTTTATTGTTTTACTGTAGTTTTATTGTTTTACTGTAGTTTTACTGTAGTTTTTTTGTTTTTTTACTGTAGTTTTATTGTTTTATTGTAGTTTTACTGTAGTTTTACAGTAGTTTTACTGGTTCTGATGGTTGCAGCAGGTTTGTCGCTGAGCTGAGTCTGGATTGTTAAATATAAATGAGTCATGGACGTTGAAGTAATGATCTGTCCATAGATCTTTCTGTCCGTCTCCATTAGAGAGCTCATCTTTACTGTTCTTCAGTCCAGCAGCTGTCAGCATTAATAATAAACTGAAGTTTGTTGCTTCAGTGGAGCGTTGGGCTGTTTGCTGCTCTCTGATGCTTTGTGTCGGAGCGGCTCCAGCATCAGAGCAGTGGGAACTCTGGCTGAATGAAGAATGTTTGAACCAGCGTTCATTCRGACATAAAGAGCCATTTCCTGTTTCAACGCATAGCGTTACTGCTGAGTCAGCATTTACACTTCATGGTTTCTACTGTGCTTCATTTCCACAAACTTCATTTTAACCGTTCAGCTTGATCTGGACTTTACTGAGCTGCACGTTTTACTTTCTGTATAACTTTAATGTTTTATCATTTATAACTTAATGTACAAATAATTCTCACCTTAGAAACAATTGTCCAGGTTCTACAGAAACTAATATGACCTATTTGTGACCATTTAGCTTTAAAATTTGRTTTCCATAATCTTAGCTTTTTGCTAAAGTTTAGCTTTTTTGTTTTTTAGCTACAATTTAGCAAATTTTAGCTTTAGCTACTGTTTTAATATTTGAAGCTTTTAGCTTAAATTGTGCTAGTCTTAGATTAGTAGGGGTTTTGATGATTTTAGCTTTTTCTGAAGTTTTGCTATTTTTAATTTTTAGGTATGGTTCAGCAGATTTTATCTTTTTAGCTATGGTTTTACTTAGCTTAGCTCTTAGCTACTAATTTGCTTATTTTAGATTTTAGTTACTGTTTTACTAAATTTAGCTTTTAGCTACGATTTTGTTGATTTTAGCTCTTAGCCTCAGTTTTGCTGATTTCAGCTTCATTTCAGCAGATTTTATCTATTAGCTACAGCTTTGCTGTTTTAGCTACACTTTAGCAGATTTTAGCTTTTAGTTACAGTTTTGTTGATTTCAGCTACATTTTAGCTGATTTTAGCTTGAGTTTTGCTTGTTTTACCTTCAACACATTGTTTTCAGATGACGTCAGCAGTCAGTCGGCTAACGTTGGTTTGTTGTAAAGATTTTAGCTGTTTGTTTATGCCTCAGGTGACCTCTCAGCCGTCCGGCGGCGGGGGAGGGGCGAGTGCTGCCACGCCGTCACGAAAGACCCAAACTTCAGCGCCGAAGGTCCGTAAGAGCGTCAGCAGCCGGATCCACGAGGCGGTGAAGGCCATCGCCCTGTGCCACAACGTGACCCCCGTCTACGAGTCCCACCCCAGCGTGAACGGAGAGACGGAGTCCGCCGAGGCCGACCAGGACTTCAGCGACGACAACCGGACCTACCAGGCCTCCAGTCCAGACGAGGTGAGACTTACAGAAACCTTCGGCTGTTTTACTCAGATCTGAGGACCTCCCTGATTCATGGACCCGCCAGGTGTCACTCAGATGAATCGATGTTTAATTTTCTGCTGGAGACCGGCTCCACGGGTCAGAACTCGGCCCGTTAGACCTGTTTGTAACAAGAGCTGCAAACCTGATCCTCCTGTGACCTTTGACCTCCAGGGTGTCCTGTAATCTGGTCTAATCTGACCTTTAAAAACCAGGTGTGAGTCCAGATTCTCCTGAGCTCCAACTGGTTCCTGTCGACCCGTTAAGAGCTGAGCTTGTTTGTCAGCTCATGTGTGACCGCTCCCGTGTGTGTGTGTGTGTGTGTGTGTGTGTTTGTGTGTGTGTGTGTGTGTGTGTGTGTGTGTGTGTGTGTGTGTGTGTGTGTGTGTGTGTGTGTGTGTGTGTGTGTGTGTGTGTGTGTGTGTGTGTGTGTGTGTGTGTGTGTGTGTGTGTG